ACGTTTAAATTATACATGAAACAAGGATGCTAGAACACACAAAAACTAAATAAGAGGTAACTGAGAATGAAACTAATCAAGACCGTTAAATGGTGTGTGTGCGTGTGTGCGAGTGTGTGTGAAGGAAATTTGTAATTGAACAACTTTAGACAACAGGAGGAACAAGGTGTTAAGGTAGATGATACATATAACAAGGTAGGTAGGCAGAAAAAAATGAAGGAGAGATTATTCCGAAATGCATGGGAGAGAGATGCATGAATGATGTTTGTTGTATTTTGTTACAAATACAAAAAGAAGAAAAAATCTTGACATAGTAACCAATGAACAAAATAACACCAAAAAAACACAATGAAAACACAAACAATTATTTGTTGATAACTACAGCAACAACAACACCAATAACAAGATATCAATGCAGTAAACACAAGCCGATATGTATATACTGATGTACATTTATATAGATGTGTGTATATTTGTTGAAGCAAACAAACAACAATTCCCTTAAGGTATCATCCATTCATTTTTCAATGTTTCGATCACATACTTTTCATTGGATTTGTTCATTTTTCTGTTTTTTATTAATGAGATTGATAAGATTCATAAATTGAATGGAATAAATTCAATACGTGACCAATGGAGTTCAACCCTGTCGCGTGAAGGCAGTCACTCAGTCAGATGCAACGTAGTACTTCGTACGTAAGTACATCAGTTCATGTCGCCATACCGCATCAGCACAGAGATGTAATTGTCAATTCAAATCCAATAGTAGAAGAGTTAGTAAAGGTATTAGAAGTAATCGGAGAGGTTAGAATTAGAAGATATTATTCAAGAAGTATGATTCAATGAGATAAGTTTAGAAAGACAAAACTAGAGGGGTCGAAAAATCCAGAAGATTAGGATTTGAGAGAACACAAAAAATAAATGCACCGGCACCATTGCGAACGATTTTGAGCCATATCATTCAAGGTCTCTAACCATCGATTATTATCATCTCGCGGACCCCAGCCAAGTAGTCGACAATTACCGACATGGCTAAGTCCACTCGTCAATGACTTCATGAATTTGTGCCGTGTTTTGGTCTGGCCGCCCCTAACTTTCTTCCAACCTTCTCCCAACCTTCTCCTACACTAAAAAACATAGCTCTTCAAGGCAGTCGGTGGTTTGGCATTCGCAACAGATGTCTCAACCACCTCAACTGATGAAGTTTCATTACTTCATCTATTGATCTGCCATTCTTACCTAGCACCTGCTTCCTAATAACAGCGTTGCTCACTCGATACGATATACGAGCAATGCTTCGAAGACACCTATGATCGAAAACCAGTAACCTACGAATATCTTCTACTCTGACTGGCCATGTTTCACAGCCATAAAGTAAGACGGAGCGAACTACTGCGCAGTACACTCGTCCTTTAGTCAGCAAACGGATATCTCGCCTACGCCTAGGCAGTAACTACCAAAGACAAATTGGTGAGGTCGGCCTAGCGGTCCGATGGTTAGGCGTTCGCGCACAATACAGAAGGTCTCGGGTTCGAATCCTGCGAGGTGCAGGAGTCGTGGATGCGCACTGCTGAGGAGTCCCATACCAGGACGAAACGGCCGTCCAGTGCTTCCAGGTTTCTAATGGTGGTCTAACAATGATTAATTGATGATTTCCAATGTGTAAAAACACAAACCTCCAAAAACTCTGCCCGAAAATTCAATATTATTGAATATATATTTTAAGCGAATAGGTTTAAACGGAGATTTGTTTGCATCATGTAGATGCTAGAATGACATTTGTTTTGCAAAAAATGCTGTCCACTTTCAATACTGACTATGTTACCAACTTTAGAATGTTATTCAGAAACTATTAGTATTCTGAAGTCACATATAATCCAATAATCAACGTTGTCATCTGTACCTAAATTAATTTTAAAAGTAACATTTCCCTCATACTTCTCTCTTTATGTTTCCTGTTCATGGTTAAAGGGTGGAAGACTTCTAATAACGAAACGAAAACTCAGTAAGTCGATGTTTAAGCATCCAAGCACAAGATGAATTACCTGCTTCCCTTTATTGTCTTTTTTTCACTTACTATATGATTGCTTATTATAAAAACTTCTTGTAAATGATTACGATAGTGTAATGTCGTGAAGTTGAACCATTGAAAATACAGACTTTCTAACTTACTTTCTTATCCCTAGAAGTCTGTTCATCAATAAAATGTGTGTTCAAACTAAAGTAGGTACAATCGATTTCAACCTTTTGTTTTGAAATAATGCTTCTCGAATACTATAACAATCATATCACCACTGCAAAGACAATTTTTTCAGTCAGTTACCGATTTCACTTCTGCATATAAAATAAATACGTGTATCTTATTTTTTCGTTATCCTTAAACAGATAGATCTATGGCAAATACGACCTACAAGCTACATTACGCTCCATAAAACCCTGTTAAATATAAGAACTGTATCAGTCTCTTCACTCCATGATGATTCTGAAGTTCCAATGAGTTGTGACTGGTAGGGGGGTTCAGGTATGTTGTTAGTGAAACAACACTTATCATCAATGGATGATAGCAAATCGATCAAACTTTGGAGATGATTCAGTAATTTTTAATGTTTAGACATTGGTTATGAGAAGTGAAGGCGTTTAGTTCTTTCTTTCATAGGGTTGAAGGTGAACACCACTAAAGATTGACAACACTAGATCTAAGCGTCCATCCCATTCTCATCAGTATTCACTATTACCCTAACAAATACAGATTAAAAATCATATATATATATATATATATATATATATATATATATATATATATATATATATATATATATATACAGCATGATTTTATTTCTGAATCAACATTGAATAATGAGATTCTGTTGCATTTGTATAGTTACTTTTTCTTCTACTTCTTCTCCTTTAACTTTTTTTTCTAAACTTATCGAATTGAATTAACAGATGAAAGTAAAAAACAAAAATATATATATATATAGGAAAAAAGATTTTCATCCAATTCTAGCTTGCTTATATTTGTTTTTTTTTTAATAACGAACTGTCCAGATATAATCTGTCTGTCACATTATCTCAATCATATCAGCTTATCCTATCATCCATTTATCTATTCAATCTCTATCTTTATTTCAGTACAGAAAATATGTGTGTTTTTGTATGAACACCTGTGTTGTGTTAAAATTTACTATATCAAAATTGAAAATAGTTTTAACCTCATTATTAGCATTATCAGTTTTGACAGTAAATGAGTTAACTTAGCTAAATGTAAATGTTTATGTACACATAGATTTCATAATGTACCGATTGGTTTTGACTGGAAAATATTAAAAATATTGTTTAGCTACTTGTAGATTTATAAGTAGATAAAAAAAGTGAAGTTAAATTTTCTGAAATTCTTGTTCCGTGTTATTATTTAGTAAAGCCTTACGAGAATATTTCTAGTTAGCTTCACATAATTAAAAGGATAGATGCTGCACAATAAAAAATGTTACTAACATTTTATGACCAGTTTATCGCACAAAGCAGACGAGAATTCAGGAATAATCTGTAGTAGAATCACGGAATCAGTGAAAAGCAACATCTCTACTCGATTCACTACACAAAACCAAGTACTAGTTCTGTCAAAAACAAAGGCACGTCAATGCCATTCTGATGTTCGTTCCAGTTGCATAGACGAATTTATGTGCATCTGTCGTGGCAAAGCATTTGAT